TCAAATGCTTTCTGAAAATCCAGATACACCAAATCTACACACTTACCCTCATCTACATAGACAGAATGTTAAAAAATTTGTAAGGCAAGCTTTTCCCTTAGTAAAACCATGTTCACTATACAATACAATTCTAAACTTTGTTAAATGACTTTGCAAAGCATCTTTTAACAGACTTTCCAAAATTTTTCCCATCGCTGATGTAAGATTAATGGGTCATTAATTACTGGGACAGTTTTTATCACCTCCCTTGAAAAGAGGAGTTACATTAGCTAACTTCCAGTCCTCTGGTACCTGCCCACTATTCAAGGACTTAGAAAAAATAGTAGCAAATGGCTCACATATCCAATCTTTAACCTCCTTCAAAACCTTTGGGGAAATATTATCTGGCCCAGAAGCCTCAACATTTTTTAAACTTCCCAATTTTTTCTTAACCAGCTCAGAATTAATGCAGTTATCCTGTTTGATCTTGTTTCCATTTATCAACTGATCAAGATGTGGAATACTGCTTAAATCTTCATTCATAAAAAAACAAAGAAAAAGTAAAATTTAATAAGCCAGCCATCTCATACTAGCCCTCCTTTATCATCCCTCAAGGGTCCTATCCTAACATTTTGTTTCCCCTTAATGTATTTAAAGAAATCCTTACTGTTAATTTTTACATTTTCAGCCAATCTCGTACATCCTTTCTGATGTCCCAATTTCATGTTTCACCAACTTTCTTGATCTTCTATAATCTTCTAAGTCTCCTGTCATACCGGTCAATTTAAATTTCTTATGCTTTTTTTTAATTTTATTTCTTAAACTCTTTGTGATCCAACCTGGTTTTTTACTTCTAGCTAACCTTTTCTTTCTATTAGGAATATGTTTACATTGAATATTTAAAAATTTATCTTTAAAAATTTTCCACATCTGATCAGTGTCTCCAAATAACTCAGCTGCCCAATTCACAACAAATAGCTCTTGTCGCATCCCTTCAAAATTTGCTTTTTTGAAATTTGTAACCAAAATATCATTATTCTTTATCTCCATATGCAGCAAAACATTGAACCTAATAGAGCAATGTTCACTTGCACCCAGCTGTTCCCCAGCCATATACTACTTACTAGTACTAATAACATATATAATGATGTAACTGTTTCTTATAAGTTCTATGAAGACAAGTTCTTTTGGATTATTCAGTAAAACATAATGCAAAGACCAGTCCACTTTAATATGGTTTCACGAATCAATGATAAGCCTAACTTAACAAATAATGCTAAACAGTATTAACTTGCTTAAGTTCCTAATTTTCTTGTAATTATATCTACACTGCAGTCTAGGGCACTTGTTTTCTGGTACCTCCATTCCTTATTCGAAACAAACTCAATATTAACCAAACTGAAGTAATTTAAAAACGGACTAATAAACTTGCAAACTTACTAATCAATCAACTACTGTAACAGATTCACTAGACAATCAACAATCGCTTCTAATCTCACTTAACTCACATTCTATATTGTGTAAACGTTTCCTAAATTAAAAAAAAATCATGTTCCTTGTCATTAACTCGAATAAGCTCATCACGTGACGTAAAAACTCCATCTACTCAAAAGCAATACAAACGCCTAAATTTAAAAAAAACACAAAAAACATGACCTACAATAACTAAAAAAATCTAAAACACTGTTTTAAACTACTTCAAGTACTTGAACTTGAGGTACTTCCTAAGTTACTTCACGAATCCCAACAAAAATATTATTTAGCACTATATAGTATATTAATTTATAGTATATAGTAATTTAGTAATAGTATTACTAGCAGTATTACTGTTGTTACTAATTGAATAATTACCAATACATTGGCAATATTACATTTTACAATATGCATTCTCAAACTTGAGTAAGAGTTGTAGAAATCATAAAGACAGAGCCTAAGATGATACTTGCATTACACTCAGATTCAGAAGATAACATAAAGGCCTCTCAGTACCAATGTACCATTCACTGACATCATAAAATAATATTCGTGACATAAAACCTTATCTTCCGTGCCATTGCACTTGATACAAGCTGCAGCAGTGGCGTCACCTTCATTTGAATTTGTTTCTTCATTATATGATTTTCCATAAAGTCATATTGAATTTCCGACTTTTTCTGAAGTAAAAACATACTTTGGCGAGCTTTCGATTCCTTTGCTGAAGACTTCTTTGGATATTTTCTAAAATGCTAAATATTTTAACGTGAGAAACTTTTTAAAATTTGTTTAATTTATACAAGAAAAATGCTTATAACGAATCTGTTCGTCTAGCAAGATTTTCTTTGATTGTTTGTGAACCATTTTGACAGTTAACAAACGATATGTTCAAATGAAAACAAAGTTTTACAATAAAAAAAGATAATGATATTTAAGATGAACAACATTGTTTATTTATAACAAAATCGGTTTGCTTTGAATTTCGCGCAAAGCTACACGAGGGCTATCTGCACCAGCCATCCCTAATTTAGCAGTGAAAGACCAGAGAGAAAGCAACTCTTGAGCTACTATATTACCAATGAACAGTGGGATTGACTGTCGCATATAACATGAAAGGGCGAGCATGTTTGGTGGGACTGGGATTCGAAACTGCGACTCTCACATTGCGAGTCGAGCACCCTAACCACCTGGCCATGCCGGACCAAGAGAGAAGGAGTGTGTGTGTGTGTGTATTTGTAATCGGTAATTCCAGATGTTGGCCTTCCAAAGGATACTGAAATTTGATAGGCTAAGTCCATGTCCTGTCTCTTCACTATGTTGGTGTATAGAGGAAACACAGGGGTTACTCAACTTTGTTTTGTGTTTTCATGGCAATTCACAGATATTCATTGGTTCTAAGTATTAGATGGCGTTTGGTTTTGCCAATATAGGAGACCTTACAGTCTATATGCGTGTAAAGACATACAAGCCACGAACAAAGAGAAATTAAGAGAAGGTCTTTAATTAGTACGGAAAAAGTCCTGTATGCGTGATGTAGATTTAAAAACTAATCTGAATTCAAATTGGGGGTAGTACCGATTAATTATGCGTTTAATTTGGCTTTTTTTAAGTTAAGCTTTGTTTGCCAATGTATGGAAGACAAGAGTATATAACGAGTTTGGATACGATTGGTAGTCTAGGTGGATTTGTGAGTTTCTTAGTTAGAAAGTTATATAATTTTTATATTAAATGTTGTGGGTAGCAGTTACGTTTTATAGTATCATATATGAAAGGATACTATTCTGAGTTTACGTTAAGGTATGTGGAACACAGATTGTAAGATCTGTTTAATAAGCATGTTCAAATTTATCTAGTGAAAAAGACGTTTACTGGACTCCTTACGCAAATTGACAGCTTTAAAATCTTACAGCAACACCCAGTCTTCATTTAAATTGCACATTCTTTAATATGTACAGTATTTTTGTTGTTATTCCTCTACTTTTTATGTGTTTTAGTTTGATTAAGTTATCGTTAATGAAGCAATGTATTTTAGTTATTTACTTAGAGATGGTGTAATCATATATATTGAGTGTAATTATATATATTTTGTGATTTAGATACTGAAGATGGAATATGTATAATTCCGAAACGTTTATGTTTATGTTATAAATAAACAATGTTAGTCATCATAATTATCGTTATACTTTTTATTGTCATTTTGACAATGTGTTATCATACCATGTAGTTATTTTATATTGTTACGTCTCCGGTCGTTAGTTGATTTTCCGTAACTTCGTTCCTACGAAACTTTAGCGACACAAGTCCTTTCTTAATAAAACTGGTTTATTCTTTCCGAATACAACTTTACGATACACTTAATGTCAACAGTCGCGCTATAACAAACGCTATAACGAACGTTAATTTCAACAGTACTCTCTGACTGCAGTTCAATTACTCACTACCTACTCATTGTCTCGTCACGTTGTGAGCGTCTTATATATATACCAGACAAACATATATCTAGTAAATGCTAGGGCATTCACGAAGAAACAGGATATTTCTAGAAAATAGGTGGCGTGACACTAGTCACGTGACCTCGCTGACGCAACAATATATTAAATTTCTGTTTTTTAAATGGTAATGAAACATTTAATTTCCCTCTGTTTTGTGTTTGTTTTTATATGAAATAGTTATATACTCTTACAGGTTTATTTGCTGTTCAACATAAAGCTACACAATGGGCTATCTGTGCTGTGCCCACCACTGGTATCGAAACCTGGGTTTTAGCGTTAAAAGCCTTCAGACTTATCGCTAAGCCACTGGGGGCGACTCTTACAGGAAACATATAAACACGAAAATTCCCCACCAATCGTTTAGTATTTTTAGGAAGATCTACTTTCGTTGGCTCTCCAGAAAATTTTAAACTTACTTATAGAATTTCCTTGCTAATTGTTCAAGTAACTGCTGAAATGCAATAAATCTCACTTCCAATACTAAACTGTGAACAACTTTTCTGATGTTGAACTCAATGAATACTCATTAACTTCACTAGCTCCTCATTCGTATTTAGAAATAATGTACACTTGCTGGAGTGTTTTGAAGAGACCATGTTACGAAAGAAGTTGAACGAATTTATCACTTAATGCGTAAATTCAAACTCAAAATATTATTACAGCATCTATTACTTTAATCACATTATTAGCGATAATCACCCATAGATGTCAATACTTGTACAATAAACCTGTACTGCAATTTTTGT